AAAAGAGAGAAGAGAAGAAGAAGGGAAAGAAAGAAAAAGGGAGAAGAGAAGAAGAAGGGAAAGAAAGAGAGAAGAGAAGAAGGGAAAGAAAGAAAAAGAGAGAAGAGAAGAAGAAGGGAAAGAAAGAAAAAGGGAGAAGAGAAGAAGAAGGGAAAGAAAGAGAGAAGAGAAGAAGGGAAAGAAAGAAAAAGAGAAGAAGAAGAAGGGAAAGAAAGAGAGAGAATGAAAGAACGAAAGGAGGGAAAGAGAGAGAGAGAAGGAAAGAATGAAAGGAGGGAAAGAAAGAGAGAGAAGGAAAGAATGAAAGGAGGGAAAGAAAGAGAGAGAAGGAAAGGAAAAAAGAGGAAGGAAGAAAAGGAAAGGAGGGAAAGAAAGAGGGCAAAGTGATGGGGAGTGGGAGGAAGGCTCTCCTACTCCCCCATCAAGCCCCCCCCACGGATCCCTCACTTACCACGATCAAGGCCGTCCACAGGCCGCAGCGCTCCGGCGATGGGCCTCCTCAGGCCTCCCCTGGGCCATAGTGCTCCAGAGCGGGCCCCAGGAGCCCGGTGATGGGCCTCCTCAGGCCTCTCCCCAGCCACAGCACTTCGGCCATGACCCCTGCTCGTAAGTCCAGAGTGGTATACTCCAGTAGCAGTAGAAAAGAGCAGGAGTTCGGTAGCACCTTAAACACTCACAAAATATGTGGCAAAATATATACCCTGCCACATATCGTGTTGGTCTTTAAGATGCTCCTGGACTCTTGCTCTTTTCTACTCCTATAGATGGACTAACACGGCTTCCCATCTTGATCTATCTCCATAAGCAGGTTAGTGAAAAATAGTCCACGGAACAGTCGCTTGCAACACCCAGTGTGGCATGCATAGTTTATTAACCGTATGGGTTCATTTACCATACATAAAGTATGTGCTGCCTTAATTTCTGTTGCCAGAATAATAAACATCTTGCAGAAGATAAGCCGGAAATTTGGAGGTGCAACTGATTCTAGCCCTGTGCTTTAGATGTGTTGCATCTCCAGAGAAAAGATTTTTTAAAAAATTCTTGAGCTGTTATGGTAGCGTGTGTATCCCCCCCCCCTTTATTCAGGGTTGTCATATCCAAGGCCCTTTCCCAAATATCTAAAATATTTAACTTGCCAATGCTATAGCTGAGCATTCATGGTAGCTACATTAAATGTGATACCTTAACTACATTGTGCAGGGGCTGGACTAGATGTTCCTTGGGGGTCCCTTCCAGCTCTTTGTTTCTAGGTATCTCAGGTAATGGACGCTTCCTTACTTGAATAGATTATGTTTGTGTTTATCAGGGTGAATTTGTGAGACCTCATTTGGAATACTGTGTGCAGTTCTGGTCACCACACCTTAAAAAGGATATTATAGCTTTGGAAAAAGTGCAGAAAAGGGCAACTCGAATGATAAAAGGGTTGGAACACTTTCCCTATGAGGAAAGGTGAAAGCGCTTAGGGCTCTTTAGCTTGGAGAAAAGACGACTGAGGGGTGACATGATCGAGGTTTATAAGATTATGCATGGGAAAGAGCAGGTAGAGAAAGAGGTACTTTTCTCCCTTTCTCACAATACAAGAACTCGTGGGCACTCCAAGAAACTGCAGAGCGGTCGGGTTAGAACGGATAA